AGTGCCTGATGATATGTGACATATCATTAGGCACGTGTCACTGATACGTTAAACGTTTCTGTAACAATCTGTCTGTATGCAGCGCTTCTCTTTGATACCGTTTTATAAATTCTGTAACATGTTTTTAATACATAGCCAACTGTTGTACAAAGTTTGTTGTACATTTATTCAAATATAAGTATCAGATAAATTTGGAAATGTTCAATATGCTTAAAAATCAAAATAAATTGACGATTACATTGTACTAACCAGTGTACTTTGGTTTCTAAGCACAGTATACCCACTACAACAATGCGGACTACACCGCTGACTGGAACTGAACAGGGAATGCTCCACGACGGGGGACGAAAACATTTCAACTGAGGGTTTTTCACATGTTTTACCACTGAAGTTTGTGGCCTAAAGTAAATGTTGTATGTGCGCATATCTGCGAGGGTGTTACACAGACACAAATGGTTAGCCACCGATGCGCAACGGACCTGAAAAGCCCAAATAAAATGTGGGGGAATGTTGAGTTGAGAGACTGAGATGAAGCAGACGGTTGCAAGATGAACAAGGATGGAAGGATCAGTGGAATAAAGAGAGTTCTGGGGCGGTGGTGTGGAGAACCTGCAGTGCTGTGTGTGTGAGGTGTTTCATAAGACAAAACAACCTTAAGTAATGGGAAACCATTTCAACTTTCCACTGATGTTACGAAATGTTTTCTTGGTTTAAAACTCCTTAATGGTCTTAAGGGTCTATCAATTTTTCAATAACTTGGGACATTTTTAGCCCATGCTTATTGTAAATGTTTATTCTCTATATGTTTATTGTATTGAATGAACATTTGTCTTTAATTTGACTTTTGGCAAGTTTATATTGTATAAGCAACGTTTCTCTATTTAAACACATCAAAATCACTTGTGTGCAAGAAGTCCTTGACCATGACCCTACTCCAACACGTAAAAATCAAGACCCAACACAAGGTTTTTGGTTGGTATTGAATCGTAATTAAGTTTACAAACAACTTCATTTTAATACCCTTCAGCTGTCTACATGCTTAAAAAAATACTTTAGAGAGTCAACAGTTCTGAGTTTGTTCTGGCTGCACAGCTTTGACTTACTGGTGCAGATCTCAGCTGATAAAATCTTTCATTGACCAAAACTGACAGAGTCTAGATCTTACAGTTTGAGATAAACTGGTTGTTCTGTTGAATCAATCAGTTCAACATTGCTGCCAAATAATCGCTGCGGTTCAGCTTGTGGAGGGTACCTTTGGATGCAGAAAAAATAACTGTTCAGTACATGGACATTAAAGTTAAAAAAAAAAAAAAAAAAAAAAGCACAAACACATTTTTTGGGACAGAGAAAAAAAAAAAAAATCTATACAAGTTTTCTCCCCTGGCTGTGAACAAGCAGCTGGTGTTTGGTGACCACGCCCAATTTAGACAAAAAAATCTCAAAATTTGGGGTGCGTATCTCTGGAACTACTGGTCTGATGGACCTAAAATTTTAGCTCCTGCACTGTGGGATCACAGTTAACAAATGTGCCAAGTTCCTACTTGCCAAGTTAAAATCTGAGATGGTCTGATAAAGAATTTTCTTGTTATTTGGGGGTGATTTGGCACAGAATGACCAAACACACAAACAGGAGGAGAAAATGCAAAATCCACACAGAAAGAGCCTAGATCCAAACGTGGCGTTGAACTTCTTACTGTGAGGCAACAGTGCTAACCACTAATCCACCGTGCTGCCCATTTTATTAAACAAACAAAGCTGACTTAACGTTAGATTTGTTAGGTTCTTAAATCATGCAATCATTAAATTACCTCCATATCCTGTGTGCTGCGAACATTTTATCAAACATTAAGAGTGGAGGAAACGTGTGTTTCAGAGGAGCAGCTGTTCTGAATGGGGGCCATGGACACCACTGGCCACTCCCTGGTTCCACCATTGCACCTGGTGGTGGATAAAATTGTTCCCTCCACTCACCAGGATCGGTCACTCTGTGCTGCCTCTCAAGCACAAATAAATAAATAAAACCTCCCTCTGTTCTCCACAGTGTCACTTCCACACACTTGAATATCTTGCACCCAAACCATTAAGGTTTCCTTGCAATTCCAGTCCAGAAAAACAATCTCGAAAAGTACAAACATTCACTCTTCAAATCCCTTAATGACGGGAAACATCAGCGTACTGCTCGTCTCCTTTTGTTGTTCAGTTACGCTCAATTTCAGTGAACACGTCACTAATTTGCAGCAATTTGCTACAAACACAACAAAAATCCCAAATCTAACAATTTATACAGTCTCTGAACAGAAGTGATCGCACAGGACGGCATCAGCTTGCAGAAAGGAGACAGAAGGCAGTAATTATAATCCAGGTGTTGAAAGAAACACATGACCACTGTCTGTGTCTCGGCTGCTTTAGGATTAATTCATTCAACAACTATTATACAACTAAACCCAGGCAAATTAACTTTGAGGACTACAAAGCAAACAGACTAAATATAAAAGGTCTGCTGCTCCAAAGACCAAGTCTTCTTGAAATCAGACGTGTCGTGGCAACGCTCAGCCTCTTAGTGAACAACCTGCTGGGATGTCATGTGCACGTGCAGGTGAAGAGGCGCTACAATGATTTATGATCAGTCTGTGTTGTGCCTCACCACAAAGGAACAGTGAACCATCGACTGATGCGGCTTTACAAAGTCAAACTCAAGCTTCTCTTAAACATTTCATCAGGTTTTTCCATTTGATTAGACAAAATACTCCAGATTAATGAAGTTAAATAAGGAAAATATGAGGGATGCACAATATTATCAGCATTGTATCGGTATCGGCCGATATTAGCGATAAAGCTCAATATTGGACATCGGCCCCTCCATCAAAATAACTCACCGATATAAAAGGCTTCCGTTTTAAGTTAATTTTTAGTTTAAAAAACTGTCAAGTATATCTATTAATGCACTACTGCTTATGCGCTTTTCACTTGTCTCTTGTGAACAGGTTAGATTTGTGAAAATGTACAAATTTGCACTGTTCGAGTGTTGTCGTGTTAGAGAGAGTAAATGTCAAATAAATTTGACATTAAACATAATCAAAGTTGAAGTGTTGCATCATTTTCAGCTCCCTTTTTGGCATCTGCATTTGGTATCAGGCTAAACTGACAAAGACCATGCAGAATAATGTAGTATTTTAATTCCACAGCAGAGAAAGTGATGTAGTCTCTGTAACTTGGAGGAAAATGGGAAGAATATACAACCACAGCAAACCAGCAAAATCCATTAAGTGAGAAAGGAGGTCATTAACCAGAGGAGCAGCCAGGAGGCCAAAGATAACCGCTCTTCTGCAAAGACAGGAGGATCTGTTTATGGGACCACGATAAGTTACACAGAGCCAGACTCCATGGAAGAGCAGCAGGAAAGTGGTTAAAGAAAATTTAAAAAGACAAACTCGTTGAAGTTTGTTGAAATTCTCCAAATATGTGGAAGAAGGTCCTGTGGTCAGAAGAAATTACAACTGAACGTTCAGGTCCTTAAGGACAACACGTCTGGCACAAACCTCCCACATCATGCTGACCACCATCCCCACAGCGAAGCATGGTGGTGGCAGAATCATGCTGTGGGAACAGGATGAAACTGATGCCATCATCAGCTCTTACTAGGACTTTGACAGCCATAACTTAGATCAGATACTCTAAACGTATCACACAAACATCTGAAACATGATCAGCAGCCGTTTTTGTTGAGATGCAATTCTTTAAACTTTTGATTTCTATTAATATGTCAGTGTATCTTAATGTGTTGCAGCTTCTAATTATAACTATGTGTAACTATTTTTATTCCACCAACGTTAAATAAAAAAAGATAGACTAGACAAGACAAGACAAGACAGATGTCCATTCCTGACCCGGACAGTTTCAGAAGTGTCCCTTTTCAAAGGTACGACATTCATTGATTTAATTTCTTCTTCAGGAAGTCATCAACTTCTACAAAAGACTGTTTATGGCCCATTCACTCAGATCAGGTGCGCTAAAATCAGGAACTTAACTAAATCTGTCGCCATAGTGGTCCTTAAAGACCGAGGTTGGACACCACTGATTTAGAACGTTGAAAACTCTAACGTTTAATTGACTTGAAAAAAACAAGCTGTACACCGATGACCTCCATCTTTGAGGGGTTTGAACAGTGAATGAGTGTAGTTTTCCAGATGAGTGTTTCTCTGGACTGGACTTGAACAGAGAATGAAAGAAAACTTTATTGTTTTGGTGTCAGATATTCAAGAGGGTAGGAGTTACACTGTGGAGCTGAACAGAGGTAGCGTTCTCATTTTCTTGTCCTAGGCAGCACAGAGGGATGAACCTGGCAAGTGGAGGGAGCAATTTCATCCACCACCAGGTGCAAAGGTGGAGCCAGGGGGTGGATAATGGTGGCCTTGGCCCCCATAGATTACTCTTTGGCCACCCCAATCATTTGAGGAAACTGAGTTTCCTCAAATGATTGGGGTGGTTTGGTTACATATGGCAGTGGTCATCTTTGATTTTGACATGGCAACCCAATTTTTGATAGTAACCTTTTTTACACCTGGATGCAGCCACACACCAAGATGGAAGTCAGTACCGCTCTTATTTTTTCAGGTTATTACGCTCACAACATGCATGGACAAATGACATGTCTTGTTCCCCCTCTTTGCTCTGTGACGGGGGTCAAAAACTACTTTCAGTACACGTGCCTGACTGACACTCCAAAGTAGTTAACGTGTGTGTGTTTTGTTGGCAGGAGGGGGTGTTTGTCATTATCTAAAAGGCCCAAACACAAAGTCATAGAAACCACTCTGTCTAATCCTGGTCTTAATTTAATTCATACAAACAAGATTATGATTCATCATCAAACCGGACGACTTTTCCAGAAAATGTAAATACGTCTAAGACCACATCCAGGTGAAAGCCCAAGTTTTAGATGCGGACAGCCAACAGTCGGTGGTATATTCCTCAGAGAGAAAAAACAAAAACGTTTGTTTTACCTTTGTTCCCACGGTCGTCGCCCCAGGAGTTTTCCACCCTCCACTTTTCATAACCTTCCTTCCCATCCTGAGAGTCAGAGACAGACGATGAGAGGCCAGAGTGAGAAATGGAGTCAAAGCAGAGAAAGTGACCAGACAGCTGGGGTTACTTACAGCAGAGGAAATTGTCAGAATTATGAAAAACTGCAGTGGATTAGAGCAGTGTAAACAAACACAAACTGGGAATGTGTGTGTATTTCTGGTACAGGTTCCCATTGTGTGTGTGTGTGTGTGTGTGCGAGCGTACCTTGTCTGTAACAGCAGTGAGGATCATGGCGTGCGTCATGAGAGAGTCACCGTATATCAGCCTCTCAGCCTTTGAAAGGTTCTTTACCGACACTCCAAACACCAGTTCATGGTTGAACCTGCACAAACACAATCAACCAGGTTGTTGAAGAAGAAACAGCTTCTGAATCTGAATCTTTCTCATGAACATCGGAAATCTTGTGATAAATTCATACAAAGTTTATTATGTTACAGTCATGATGTATTTTAGTTAGAGCTGGAAGAGGCCCTGCCTTTCCACATATTGGGGTTTTGAATTAGCTACAAAGCTCATCTACTATAATCTGTATTTTCAATTCACTTCAATTCAATTTAAATAGCACCAAGTCACAACAGAAGTCATCTCAGGGCACTGAACAGAACCATTCACATACATGAAAAGTATAATAATGAAAGTTACCCATCTAAGGTAATGGTTCCCAACTCTGGTCCCTGAGGAACACCATCCTACATGTTTTAGTTGTTCCTCTTCTCCAACAAAAAGGTGATTAACAGGCTTCTGCTGAACTTAAGGAAGTAATTAAACCACTGAATCAGGTGTGTTGGAGCAGAGAAACAACTAAAACATGCAGGATGGCGTTCCTCAGGGACCAGCGTTGGGAACCACTTACCTAAAGAAACCAGCATATTGCGATGAATCCTCATGTCATCACAGTCTCCCATCCTGAACAAGCACAAAGGCAACAGTGGAAAGGAAAAACTCCCTTTTAACAGGAAGTAACCTCCAGCAGAACCAGGCTCAGGACAAGCGGCCATCTGCTTTGACCGGCTGGGTTTATTTTGAGAACGACTATAAAAATTAGGCTAGATTAAGCCTCATTCTTGTTATGATCTTCTGGTACAGCAACACATCTGTCTGGAAGATGAGCCTCTGCAGAGATAGGAACAGACATTCGGCACCATGCTGGTTTGCATCAGCGAGCACATTTAAGCCTGGCGCCAGCAACTCAGACAAAGTTGCTGCTGCACCTGAAGGACAGAGATGAGGCATAGTGGAAAAACTGATACTTTATATTGGCAGATGAATTCTGGTCCAGATGATCGTATGGAACAGATTTAGTGATAGTGTTTTAATGCTTAAAATGTAAGGAGTTTATTTGGAAGTAGGGTTGGACAGTAATAAGAGTGTATCGTATCGCAGAGCATTTAAAAATAGCAATAGAAACTCAGGCAGTAACGTCCTGTGCTCGGACAAACAAGAATCCTTTGAAAAATCTTGGATCTGGATGGTAATCCAGACCACCAAAAATTCATCATTTGTTCTTTGTGACAACCAAGGGAATGAAAAATGAAAATCTGTTCATACCCCAATGTCCCCCGTCTCAGAGGAATTTGAAAAGCGAGTATTTGTAGTTTTGGAGTGTTTTTCTGAACTGAAGTTGAACAGAGATTGAAGTAAACCTTAATGTTTTTGGTGCACAATATTCAAGTGGGGAGGAGTTGCACTGTGGAGAAGAACAGAGGGAGGTGCCTTTTTCTTTTCCGAGGTGGTGCTGAATGATGGATCCTGGAGAGTGGAGGCAGACATTTTATCCACCATGGAGCCAGGGAGTGGCCAGTGGTGGCCTTGGCCCCCATAAATTAATCTTCAGCCACTTCAGGAAACTACTTTTAAGTAATATAAAAACTAAAAAGAGAAGAAGTTTTCTCAAATGATAGTGTGTTTAAATAAATATATGGCAGAGGCCAGCTTGGATTTTGACATGGCAACCTAATTTTTGAATTGAACCTTTCTTACGTCTAGATGCAGCCAGCCCGACACCAAAATGGAAGTAGGTACTTCACTTATTTTAAGTTATTATGCTCACAACATGCACAGATGGACAGACAAAATTTTCAATTATCCTTCACTCCTCGATGGGGGAAAAATAAAAAAGGACCTGTGATGATAAAACTAATGTAAATTACACAAGTCTACACATGAACCCCCTAAGACATTATTGTGGAACAGTTTGTTATAATAAAACTGGTGTGGCAGAGGAGGTGGGTCACATCATGGAGGAGCAGAACACAGACAGCTGACTGTTTACTGTAAGTGCATCAAATAAAAAATTAAATAACTCCAACATCTGATTTGATTAAGCTCTTCTGATGTAAACTTTGAAGCTAGTTCTTTATCTGCTCAGACCAAATAGGGCCAATATTCTGGTAGACTTATTTTTGGCAAAACAAAACCATTTGAAGCAATAATCCTAATATTAAAAGAAACAATCTTTTAAAGTGTTTCTAAATCAAAAGTCAAGTTCTCATAGGTACATACTGAATATAAACATGAGGTAAACTCAGGAAGGAGTGTTCAATTTTGGTCCTGGAGGGCCAC